TCTTATGTGATACAAGGCTTATGTGCTATAAGGGGGGTGAATGAAACCTCCCTCAAAGGCGCTTCAAAAATTTAGGGTTAATGTAATTGTTTTAATAATCCTAAACGTCTTCTTTAATCTTTAGGGAGAAAATGGCATCCATTTTCAAAAATTATTAAAGATACATTATATATTCAATCAATAAGAGGACAGCTACATTTTACATTAGTGTTCATAAACAGTCCAGCCCAAAATTATATAAACAGAATTTCATGTGAAAATCAATTAGCAAGTCACATGAAACCCATATACTATTTCCTGAATTCCAATTAAAAATATAATCCAGTATTTTTATTTTTTTAATGTGGAGATTATATAGATCAAGAAAAAAAAAACAGTTCTACATCTTCATTGAAACTGATTACTATGCATTATTGGGCAATTTCTAAGTCTTGGAAGAGAATTAAAGAATTTTTTTAAAATTTAAGTTCAAGGTCATGTCAGTTTCATTTCCTGATTCCCTAATGAATCTGAATATAAAGGTATCCATAAAATGCTGTAACTATCTTTCATTGCAACCCAGAGAAGCAATGCTGTAACTCCTGGTTTTTGTATAACCAGAGAGGAATTTCCAAATTCACCCAAATTTTATTTTGTGATTTACTAAGGAAAAAAATCTATACTCAAATTGTTGTAAGTCAATCTACAACATGGTCAGGCCACTAGATGGGATGCTGGTAGACCTGGTGAATTTGTCACAGAGTGATTCAGAAAACCAAAAGAGGGGATCATCTAGTTTAGCTCCCATACAATGTTATTCTACACAGAATTAACCTATCTTCAGTTTCACATCTATGTGACTTCCCTCACGCTGTAAAAAGTTAGGACTTTTCTACACTTACACATCTGGCAAATTCTTTAATATTCTGGAAAGAATAAACATAACCTCATGTCTCAAGATATGCTGCCTTAAAAAGAGGCTGGAAAAGATAGGAAGTGAAAGAAAACTTAAAAATGCATGCTTATTGGCAATTATTACAGAAATATACAAAAGAGATAAAAATATTGTTCTCTTTTCCACGTAAGAGTAAAATTAAGTTGCTTAAAGCTTAAGATGAACAAATCATAAAATAGATGTTGTGTTCTGTATAATAAGTAAAAGACTGGATTAAAGTGTATTAAGCAATCTAGTAGATTTTTAAAAATTCCAAACCTGAAACAAAAAGGCAGTTATAGAACAAAAATTTTTTCCACTAATAAAAATAATGCCTTAAGGCTAAAACTGTGAGGTTCTGGACAGAATCTTATCAACATCTCTTTATAATATTAATAAAATTCAAGGCCATGTTTACTGAAAAATTTTGGCAAGCCAAACTTGCACAATTAAAATAAATACAGTGTCACGTGATTTGGTCTCCCAAAGCCTGGAATTTTGACCTTGACTGAAGTCTTCCCAATTCTAATGCTATAAATAGCTACTTTAGCCAAACAAAATATTAAACTATTAATTCTCACAGAATGTGGTTGTGTCTTTTCAACGTGTATATCCCATGCAAATATTTAGTATGGGCTTACTCATTCAACAAATATGTATTGCCTATCTACCAGGGTTAGGCCCCATACAAGGCAGTGATGATATAAAAGTAATCAAGTCCAACACTGAAACGGCTAAGACAAGCCTTAAAGACAATTAACAAAAAATTGCAAAAACCCATCATCTGGGAGTATACGATCAACAGGGATATTTTAACAAATCTATAGAGTTGGAGAAGGCTTTCCGGATTAAGTTCAGAGGCAATGTCTTTATACAAAAATCTTCAAACCTATGGTAATAGAACTGTATGTCTGTAGGTTACTGATGTTCTCACCATCAGATAAATTATTCTCATAACACACACAGGTAATTTATATGCTAGGCTATGTTCAATATAATATGCTGCTTAATTAAAAGAGGCTCTATAAATTAAAGGCTCGTAGCTATAGTTTTAAACATCAAAAGGGATTATTTCTACCATTTCAGGAAAATGAAATAAGCATAATAAATGAAGTGTCAACACAGGTTTAAAATATTTCTGAAAAATGGCAGATTGACCTTATGAGTTTCTTTCAATCTCTTCCTCCCAAAACCACATTAAAATCATAATAAAGGAAATTTTTTTTAAAAGGTGTAAACATACAGGAACCAAGAAAGAGAAGACCAAAACACTCAAGAGAATTCATCAAATTTTTATGAACTTGAAGAAATGGAGGAGTGATAATTGACCAAGGGGAGCAGAGGCAAAACCTGGGTGCTGTGGAGGACCAAAGGGAAGTAAGCTAATTTGCGGTACTGACCCCATAAAGAATAAAGCCTTGGAACACAAGGAGCTGCGGATACAGAGCAAGTGGTGAGGCTGAAAACAGAGGATTAGATAACAACATGTAAGTACACCATGGATACTCCCCCGAAAGACACGCTCTCACACATACGTGCACGTTCACCTGCATCCAGAAGATTACTGCTTCTCCTACCTCTCCTATTCTTTGGAGAAGCTCAATGACACCAGGGAAGATGATGTATAAAATATTGAAACCTGAATGCCACGCTAATGAAAAGCCCAAATAACCAAATGAAAAGTCATGCTCATGTACAAAGAGCTTCTGAGTGGCTCTCAAATATTGACAGGCAACAACCACAGATATATGGGGAAAACCTCCAAGATCAAAGTGAGAGCTTAGCTTAGAAAATCAAACATAATAAAAAAGAACATGGAAAAAAACAACAATGCATGGAGCAGAAGACTAAAAACAAAACTATGATTACATAATATCCTGATAGCAAAAAGAGAAATTTAGCAGCCATAAAACAAAATATTGGGTTGTTGGAAAAGTCATGATGTATGTTTTCTATGTTTTTCGTTGCAAAAATGCGTCATGACTTTTCTGACAACCCAATAGAAGGCTGTAACACATGAACATCAGGCAACAGAGAATAGTTCTTTGAATTAAAAAATTAGGATAGCTGAGATAAAACGTTGAATCTAAGAAAGATCAGAATTAGAATTAGATTAGGATCTGTCAGACTACTGGAGGATTCAGAAAAAGAAAACAAAATGGAGAAGAGAAAATTGTCAAAGAAATACTACAAGAAAAGTATACAGATCTTTCAGACATGAATTTCCATGTTGAAAGGGCCCTCAAGTACCTAGCACAATAAATGAAAAAAATGCCCACACAAACATCAGTTATTGTGAAATTTTCAGACACCGGGGATAAAGACAAGATTACAAAAGTTTTCATAGGGAAGGGGGGGAAGTTCAAATAAAAAAGGAATGATGCAGAATGTACAACTAGAGGCTTGGGAAGGGTAAGACCCAGGACTTTAATGTTATTTGACTTCTAAAACAATGTACAGGTATTTTTATAAGTAGTCAGCAATAATAATGTAAGTAAATAAGTACATAAGTAAATAAATGAATAAAACAAAAAATAAAACAAATTGATTGAATGCAGACTATATGCTAGAGGTGCCATTCTTTTTTAATGTATTATCTCATTTAACTCTCATAACTATGAGGAAGACACTAACAATCTCATGTTACAGATGAGGAAACAGGCAGAGAGAGGTTAGGCAATAATAGAACTAGTAAGTGGTAGAGCCAGAGACCCAGCTTTCTGAGTGTGATCTTTTAAAAACTGCATGATACTGTCTCTCAAATTTAAAAGTAAAATTAATTTTAGAAAAGAAGAAAATACTATTTCAATGTTTCCTACATTCCTAATCTGTTTCCAGATCAACTATGGTTGATTAAAAGTTCTGACTTGATCAATCAGGACACAATTTTAAGGTTATGTGTGCATGTGAGGGTATGTGTGTGTGTGTGGGGGGGGGAATGAAGGTTTAGAATATTTGCTAGTATTTTAAGTATTTGTTGTATATAAGTACTTTATGCTATGTATTTGTGATTTGCTACCAGAAGGTCCTTAAATTCCAAAACAAATGCATCAACAACATCCACCAAAAAAATGACCTCCATCAGATCACCACTGTGTATTTGGGCAAAGAATAAAGAGTATATAAATTTCATTGCTTAAAAACAGAATAACTGCCTTTTTTCTAAATTATTGTCATCTAAGCCCTTCACACTTTTCTAGTCTTGCAAGGAAAACATCCCTAGACAATTTTCCAAGTTATTTACATGACTACTTAGTAAATATACTGATGTAACACAAACATGGTTCCCCTGTACTCACCCTTGCCTGACACTCATCTTTACCTCATAGTAAGTACATAATGATACCTGAACATTTTCATTTAAAGTTTCTCTGTAGGAGTTAGCCTCAGTTTGGCTGTCCTATGGATCTGCTCACTTCTTGTTCCTAAAGAGGTTCTAGCTTTGGGGGTGATGGGGTGGATGGGATATACTATATTTTGAATAGTTTTTGTTTCTTTTCCAATCTTGTGACATCTTCATTCTTTCTGATCTATGATAAAGGAGGCTACACAGTTTTGGAATTTCGTGTCCCGGGGCTGATAAACTTCCACGCAATAACGCAGTGGCTTTTGATACCTCAGACCACTGCACTGCACCGCCTGGATCACTTGCTGTTGCCCGGCCCAGCCTGGTAGTTCCTTTCTCTATCATATGCAACCCTCCATTTTCTGCCTGTCATGCCCCCGACTTCTGAGTCGGTGTTTTGTTTTGTTGTGGTTTGGGGTTTCCGTTGATGAGTGGTAGCTGCAGCAGCCTTTAAGGTTCTCATGCATCAATGACAGCATCCTCTCTGTCTTCCCAACATCTGGGTGAACAGACCCAAGGCTGCCCGGCCTAGAAGGTCTCGGTCTTGGTCACAGGAGGTCCCCATCCAAGGTGCTCGCACTGCGACATTCTCCACTGTCCCGTGTCAAGGAGGCCCACAGTGTCAGGCGCACCCACGCACGGGTATCACACCGTCCCTCCCCGAACTCAGGTGGAACACCTGGCGGCCCTCGGGCGTCACCTGCGGGCTGGCCCGGCGCGCGCACGCGCTCGCGCACATACCGTCTCCTTGGCCGCAGCAACCGGGATGGGAAGCAGCCCCCGGCCGCGGGGCGGGTCCTCCGGCTCTACGTCCTCACTCTCGGAGGAGCGCCCGAGGGTGGGCACCGGCGCGGCGTCGGCCCTGGGGTCCCCATACAGCTGGTAGCACACGAGGCCCACCAGACCCCCGCCGGCAGCCGCTGCGATGCTCAGCTCCCCCCAGCGCCGCCGCCGCCTCCAAGCAGCCTCCGCCACAGCCCCGTCCTCCTCCTCCCGGCAGGAGAAGGGCCGGCCAGGCGGGCCCGGGGCCGTGCACACAGGCCGCCCCCACGGCCCAGGCAAGGGATGGTGAGGGGAGGGCGGAGGCGGGAGCCGAGGCGGCGGCCACAGGAGCCTCCGCAGCGCAGCCATAGCGGGGGCTGGGGAGACCCTGGAGGAGGAGGCTGCGGCTCGGCCCCGCACTCCCAGCCGCGCCCCGCCCCGCAGTTATAAATAACCGCTCCTGCCCCTGGGGGCACCTGACTGCGCGAGAACCCAGCACCGCGGGCTACGGCCAGGTCCGCGCAGCGCACGGGAGCCCGCGTGGGCGGCGGCGTCCCCGCGCCCCTCCGCTGCCTTGGCCCTTCGCCTCTGCTTTACGGACGGGGTGGGTCTTGGATCATTGGTGGCGTCCCTCGGAGAAAGTCACCTACCCTAACGGTGTCCTGGTCGTCTGACACAAGGTCAAGTCTATCTGAAGGTGTCCAACAAAAAAAAATGAAGTATAAAAATTTGGCTCAAGTCATAAAGATGGCACATTAAGTTGAAGGGATGTTTTGACTACACAATGAAAGCTTGAAAGCTTCTGGATCTTTGATGGGGGAAAGCTAATGCTTTTTTTCAGTTACCGCTGTTTTTAAATATTTTTTTTAAAAACATTACCATACCTGGGGTCCCTTAATTCAACAAGTCAGAACTGTCTTGAAAGCTACCCTTACTTTGGGGGGAAACCTGTTGGTATAAATATGAAAGAATGGATAAGTGTATCATCTTTATTTTATTGCTGTACTTGTGTGTTTGCTACACAGTCAGGATCACTTTTATGAGAATATATATATGACATTCTTACCAGTTTCCCACCCGTGACCCCAGTTTTGGTAACTGAGTTATGGTAGCTGTGGTCTTTATATCCTAAAATGGTGCTGTGAGCCCCTAAAATATTTTGGGTTTAGGGGTGTAGACAACTAAATCCAGGATTATCAGTCACAAGAGATTAATTAGATCAGTTGATTCTGGCAATTCTTATGAAGACAAGGGTTTTTCAGAGGCAAAGAAAATGAGGTTTTCTGGACCAGATCCTGCTGTTCCCATTCCTCACTAACCACTTGCCTATCAATAATCTCTCAGATACACCTCAGTCTCATTTTACTATAGGTTAATGGAATTTTCCCTTCTTAAAGACACTGAAAGTGACAAAAATTCTCAATAACATATGAACAAAATGTGTCTATTTCAAGATGCCATGTCTTTTTCTTTCACGTTTCTTTCATGT